AAGTGAAAGACCAACTGACAGAGGTGAACAAACCACAAACAAGTGAAAAGACATACATTTCAACCCTGTCATGTTGATTGTTATGTCTTGGGAAGACAGTTTTTCCAGCACCTCATTGCTGAGTTTTGGTCATACTGCCACACGTTTGCAGGTGTATGCTCATGGTGGAGGCTTCATCTGCATGATTTAGTCCCCCATTAACCCTTCCCTATTGCCTGCTGTGTACCACATGGGACAGAGGCAGGGGTAGATGAGGGAGAGGTGAGAGAGGGATGATGTGACACCCAAGGGTTTGGGGGGGTTATGTTCCAAGAGCCCCGGGGATGCCATGTATTCCCCATCCTCCTCTATCACACAACGTCCTGATGTACTCAGACGGCCCGAGCACAACAACAGGCGAGGCGTCACAAAGCAGAGCAAGCCACAGCCTTAATGTATCCCAAGTTAATGTTTAATGAGTACGCCATATTCAGGCTGGTACATGCAAAATCTGAAAATGGCTTTATTGTGTTACTTTTGAAGGGCGCGTGTGTCTGTGTGTGCAGAGAGGCTTGTTCAGTTGTACTTACTAGAAGCAAGTGTGTGTGTCAAAGTGTGTGTGTCAAAGTGTGTTTACAAGCGTCTGCCGTGTCCCAGACAAGTGTATCCATTAATGTATTCCTGCTCTGAGTACACAAGCACAGATTTACAGACATGGTGTCCTAACACACTGCTGCTCTCCATGACGTCCCTCTGCCTTTGTCACCTCTCTCCTGCACCTGTGTGAAGCCTTATGACACTAACTTTCTAATTACACAGAGGGAAAACTGTATAACCATCTATACACATACAACAGTATTGTTATATAATGGTATTCCCTATGTGTGTGTTTATTTTATTTTTTTTCACCGTTTTGTATACTTAGTTTTTTATTTTTCCTTTTGTCCTACAGAAATTATAACAAGTATATTTCAGAGAAAAAATACAATTAATTGATCTGTTTTATAAATAATCTGCATATTAATTGACAAAGTGGACTGGAGTGTGCTTGTCAGCATCATCAGACTCCCATGTGTATTTGAATCACCTACAAACCAGTCAATTCAGCTGCAATGTTTTAGCTGTTTGCGTAGCTGTATATGTGTGTGTGTGTGTGTGTAGCTGTGTACTATTGAGTCTATGTAACCTCCTGGTGTCCAGCACCCGAGGGAGCCAAAGATTGATTTGTAATGTAGCCTGTAAGTGACCTCGCCACCTGGTGACTCCTGTTAGAATCCAATTTTACATTAGCGCCTGATACTGATCACACTGACAGGTTATGACAGGTTACAGTACAAAATGTGCCTGACTTATGATATACTGCGGCTATTTTGTTAAAATATGAGAGGGGGTAGAACAAGATGAGAGTTTGGAGTGTGACTGAATGAGAGCAGAAAATATTGCTCTGTGTAGGACAGGAGTTTATTAATCTGGTTTTCTAATCTTATATATACACTGTAATTCTATTTTGTGCTTTTCAGCCTGAGGTTTTAAGGAAATGTTTATCAAATTACTGTGCAAATACATAAACAAGACCAAACAGTGTAGCAGGTGGATTAGATGGGGCATGGTTGGGCATCTTCTGTGGACCACCATGTGGCTACAGCCATCTGCTGGTCCAGTCTCTATTCATCGGACCCACTCATTAGCTTTCTGCTGATTAGACCGACGGCCTCGATCGGCAAGCTGAACCCTCTCTGTGTCCCACTGTTGTCTTTATTCCCGTCCACAAACCCTCCATCTCTCTGTCTCTGCTCCAGCTCGCCTCCTTCAGATCACTACTCAGATTAGCAGACCTCAATTGTCTCACGAGGGTCACAAACACGCGTGGGCACACACACAGACACGCACGCACACAAAGCTTAACTACAAGGATAGTACGGGACGGGGAAGCGAGAGGGAAATAGGTCAGTCTGCCTGCACCCCTCCCCTCTTAACCACCCCCCCTGTCCTGGCTGGATGGGAAAGTGGGACAGGCAAGGGGACAAACACACACACACACATACATAATCATGCACAAATATAATCACACACACACACACACACAAAATGCTCCAGAAGGGAAACGTGTGTTTGACAAAATAGAACCTGTTGTGGTTCAAAGGGCATGGCTGCGTTGTGTTATGTCATCAACTCAACCTTCACACCAATATGTGACTGTGCTACTGATCAGAGTCTACACATAGCAATGCCTCCGTGCAAAAGCACAGATATGAAGTGCAGATAAACTACTTAAACTCTTTTTTAATTCAATGTAGGGCTGTCATGATATCAGATTTGCACATCACAGCAACACTGTTGCCATATATATAAAAAAAACAAAACATGCTATCAGTCAGATTCGTCTATGACTTGGTTCAGTTTGTGTTGTCTGATCCACTAATGTAAAGAAAACAGGCCTGTCTATTCATGTATGTACTCATACTGTGCTTTTGTTTTGAGATAGGGACAAATGACGAGGAGGAGGTACAGGAAGGAACTGTGATCAGATTCATTGATGGTTCGGTGGTGCCACAAATGTTGCTTCGAAGGTGGGGAACATCAGTGAATCACTACGCCTAAAATACCTCAATTTACATTTAAAAAAGATAAAGTCATAAATATGCACTGAGCTATCAGCTGAAATGCATTTCTGAAAATAAGAAAAAGCAAAAGTTTTTCATTTTCTTTTGTGACAGTTAGCCAAAGCCCACCAGATGACAATACATAGGACTGAATGATTGAATGCTTTGACTTGGTGCTTGCAGACCATTTCCATCAGACAATGGCCTCTCTCATCAGTAACAGATAACAGAGTATTTGCTCTCAGAGATACATTTAAGTGGGTCTGATCAGAATAAAGATTAGTACTAATCAGATGTTTGAATATTATTTGTTGACAGTCGTATTATTGTGTTAAGTGGCAAAACCTACAGGATTTTTATCTGTCCCCTGCTTCTCATTACCTTAAATTGTAACAAGCAGAAAAGGAAAATGGTGCAATTAATGAGTCTGACTATGTGTGTCTTTGCACAGTGGCTTTATTTCCTCAAATTTCACCATCATCTCCTGCTGTGACAGGTAGTCACCTACTCACGTGCACATCGGGAGCTTTCCATCATAAAATCTATTTTAACTTTCACATCTTCATTAGATGTATCCAGACAGTCCTTTGCTGGCCAATCAGGGAAAAAGCATCACTCTGTAGTGTTTGAAATGATCTAGTGAGTAGGAGATCAGTATGAATACACTGGACTGTTTATATAACCACATGTATCAGCTGTATATGGACATTTACTGTATGTGTCCATGAGTATGTTTGCATATTGTGCACCCATGTGAGAGTGCAATAACAATATTCAGATTATGAGCTGTTGTGCAGACTATGTTGATTGGCTGTGAGGATGACGAGGTCACTTTGCTGATTGGAGGGTCAAGGTTGAATGCAACCATGCTGCCAGTGTTTGCCCTGTTTGTGTGTGCTGCTGTTGTAGTGAAACGAATGCTGAGTTCAGTGAGCAGCTCATCATGTTCAGCATCTGATCCTCACACTCACTGCTCATCAACTGACCTATATACCCCTAATTACACACTGGAGCCTCATGACAGTACAGAAACACCCCATACATAGAAATCACAAATATAGACACAGAGGGCTGGCATACCCAAAGCAGATCTACTATATTTATGTTCAGGAATCATCAGAAGTCACATGTAAACCAAGCGTGACGTCAACAACTCATAATCTTAAGAGCCGAACTGAGGAAAGGGAAAGAGAGCACAAATATGAAAGCATACGAGTAGAACATTTATGTCTGGCTGGCTGATGTGTGTATAATATGAGCATTCATGAGAATTTTCATGAATTTAGCTAAGTAAAAAGCAGTAAAGTATTTTTCCTACACACTTTAAGTGTTAATAGTGAATGCCAAAATAAAAGTATGGCAAGAAATACAAAAAGTGGGTGATTTGGTCACAGCCCTGAAAAATGTGGCCCATTAAAGCAGTCACATTGGTAACTGAGGACAAAAACATAACTCTAAATACACAAAAATGCTTCAGTATTATAAAAAAAATACTGTACCCTGAAATGTCTGAAAATGACAAATTACTGCAACCTTGGTGCATGTACATGTGTGACACAGAGTCTGTGTGCTTTGCATACATATAATATAAAACGCCATCTGCCAGGACCTGAGGCCGTTCTTGCCCTACTACCCTCCTTGCTACTCTTCCTTTGGTTTGCTCTTCTTTTCCATCTCTCCTCCCTCTGCCCTTTATTGTTATTGCAAGGGGTTTTACATGCAGAAAATAATTAGGCCCACATCTCAAACAAAATCATGAGAAAAATGTACCTACAAAAAAGCTGGAAAAACACACAAAGACAGATCTCAACATTTATCTTTTCTCGCACACACACACGCTCACATACACTAATGAGGTTAATGAAGATGAATGCAGGGGCACAGTCCTATTGACATCCTGTATCTCTAATTGTGGCCCTGTTCTTCAAGGACATAGTGGCAAGACAAGCAGGGAGTGGACCAAAATAGATCTGATGAGGAGAAAGTGTGGAACGTGGAAAGAGATGTCTGTCTTTCATTTTCTTTGGTGTCAAACACAATTAAAGGCACTAGTTGACATTAGCTTGAGATAATTAAATGTGATGTGGAAAGCAGGGCTAGCAGAGTTGGAAAGATGGAACCGTCCAAAGAAAGAAGGTGGCAGACGAAAGAGGGTGAGGGTGGAGATATGTTCAGGAAGGAAGGAGAAGGAGGAGGAGGAGGACCGGATCAGTGATCCAGAACAGTGAACAGACAGAAGACACGAGTTAAGAATTCGGTCAAACACAGAGCACATTGGCACATCAACCGCTCTCACACACAAACAGAGACACAGACATAAAGACACACACACACACATAAAGACAACCCTGAATCCAACAGTCAACAATCAATGTGCCTTCACCATCTCGCTCCAAATTCACTCACTTAATGTCCTACCTGGGACAATGGAAACAGTGTCTCTCTCCCAGGATACAACACTGACGTACTCCTGCACAGCAGCGGGGATGAGGCACTTGAACACAGCTACGTTGCCCCGCATTGAGCGTTGGTCCGCCACCCGCACGGTGTAGGGCTCCCTGAAAACTACACAAACACAAACACAATATTACATACAACACACTGCATGTAGAAAGGATTCAATCTTTTAAATGGGGTTTTCTACCAAGGAATAAAGACTTCCCTATTTTTTTATGAACATTAAAAGAGATGAATTTGAAAGATGATGATTATCTACATAAAATATCCCAGAAGTGTTCCATTTAGAAGATGCGTCGAGAGAGTGTGAGCGCCATCAACATGGTCCTATTACCCCTCTTGCCAAGGCAAAAACAACAATCAGCTCCGTGTTTACATCATCAAAAACAACACATTAACACTCCAGAGCAAAACGCCCTTTCATCAATTACCACAGCACTCCGCATGTATTCACTGGAAATTACTGAACTACTCCTGTCTATTGTTTGAACTCTTCTAATCCTGCCTCTGCTTTTGGCACAAATGGCACAAGCCACCATTAGGCAGGATAATCATGGAAATCATTTTCTAGCTCGGGGATGACATCATAATAAAACACTGATGTTTTTGCTCAGAACTTCCCAAGTATACAACAGACTGAGCTGCACTGAAGGGTTAATGGTGCTTTGGTTTATTCAGGTTCATGCAATATTTTACACTCTGTTGAATGAGCAGGAGCTCATTAGCGAAATCACATGAAAGCTAGCACGTATCTGAAGGTTGCTAAGAAACTGGTTCGGAATCCCTTTCCTGGTAACAGACATGATGACAGCATGCATACATTCCTGCCGCAAGAAGAAAACACTTGCCAAAATTTACATCTTCTTTAAATAAATAAATTAAATAAACCCGTTCTGTTGAGTTCTTTTGAAACAGTATAATGAAACCCTTCTGTTGTGAATTTCTTTACTCTTTGCTGTAAGCCACGAGGCAGTAGCACTGAATTCAATTTGACTCCTGTCAATAGCTGCTCAGTGGCAGTGCAAGCGCAAAACTGTGGCCATAAAATCCCAAACAAAACACCCACATCCTGTCTGACTGTATAACCTGAGCACCAAGGCTTGACTGAAGCCGTTGGCTGCAGGATGTTTGGTTCATGCTAATCCCTCGGCTCCTGAGGCCTGGCTTTTGGGTCATGTGGGAATGAAGGCAGCAAGCGGCTGGCATACAGCTCAGGGTCCTGGCTCAAATCCTCAACTTGGCACTAGTATTAGTATTAGAATGAATATGAGTATTAGTTTAGGTCGGTGTTGGGAGGCAGAATATGAAAACAGATGTTGATGGCAGGCGGGAAGGGGGAGGGACTCACTGGCCTGAATGAATGATGGGAAAGGGGGAGGGCAGGGCGATAGATGTAGTGTAAGTGTATGTATCTGCTGATGTTGACGTATCTGTTTACCGGGTAATTTTCCTCTTCGTGTTTCTCTTCTCGTTGTAGAGCTGGAGCTTCCCAAAACCCCTGATGTACTATTTTACTTTAGATGAGGTCTCGCCTATTAAAGCCTCACATGCGCTAATCAATGGAAAGCACCAATTAGGTTTGTTAATGAGAGATAATTAAAGAAGTGTGCTGTGGCTAAATTTAGTCTGGCACAAGAGGACAGTTTGAAGAACGAGGGAGCAGGGAGGAGAAGGAGGACAGAAATGGGAATATGATGGCAACAGAGGCAGCTTCCGGTCAAAATTCACAAAAATAGACTGTAGAGAGTCTAGTGGTGTATACTTTGTGTGTATCCTTTACTATAAGTGAAACCCACAACAATACACAACAGAGCATAAAACTTAGTGTATAAACCTAAATTTTAGTACTCTACACTTAAGTACACACATTTCTTTTTTATGCAGTGAATTGCTTTTCACACCCTGCAAAGCATTTAAAGGTACTTGTTTAAGAAAAATTCAAGTGGCTGTCAAGCTCCTCTTCTGTTGTGCTGACCTTTGATAAATGGAAGGCCTGCCAACGAGGATGAGCCGGTTAACTCATATAGCCTTTTGTCACAGTTTTCCTCCTTACCGGATGTGGTTATATCTCACAGTAGAGCTGCTACTTCACTCTAAGTACTGTAAGGGTTGTGTTTTGAATTTCTTTCTACCAGATGGTGCCACGCCATAGATGAAGGGGTTATGTTGGTGTAAAGTGCAGTGGTTCATCAGCAGCTCAGTCAAATAGGTGTGAGCAAAGGCCAAGGCCTGATGTAGTACGTGATGCAGATGTTCTCTCTGTAGACTGTGTTCTAGGTCAATCTGTGTTCAGGTCGAGACAGGCTATTTTAGGGCAGGTGATTCTGTGTGTGGGTTGGGCTTTTTGCAGCTGCCAATCACATCTGCTCTAGTTTATGCTTCAGCAACAGTCTCTTCTTGCTGTGTCTCGCTTTGACCTTCCGCTCCATAACCCCACTTTTCTTTACCCTAGAGTTGATTCCCTTCCTGGCTGTCCATTCAACTCACCGGCTTTGATGCGAATGTTGGGGCTGCGGATCTTGCCGGCCTGGTTTTCCGCGGTGCAGAAGTAGTCATTGTCGTGGATGTAGCTGTTGTAGGCAGAGGGCGAAAAGGGGTACAGTTGCAGCGTGCCATTGGCGTGCACATGCCGGATGTGGGGCACGTCGTAGATGTCGTCGCCGGTGGCCAGGTACCAGCGCAGTATGGCACTGGGGGTGCCCCCTGCTGGACAGGGCAGGGACACCCCCACCGAGCTTGAGTAGGTTACCCTCTGCAGGGAGGCATTCACAAAGTACAGCCTGGTAGAGCCCACATCCTCACTGTGTACTGCAGGGGCAAACATACAACACATCATCATTTAACAGGCAAGGATGGAAGTAAAGAGTCAATAACAAACACCTGTTACACGCTGTACACATGCTGAAAACACACAATAGTGTCAAAATAAACTTATCAGATTTCAGCAACACTGATTTAAAGCATTAAGCACCACAGTAAAGTGAAAATGTTGGACAGACAGGGAATGTCCTTCAAATCTGTGGCAAAATAATCATAACAAATGTGTGTCAAATGTCCAGCTGCAAACATCAGTCACATGATGCAGAAAGCAAGGGATTTGGGCCAAAGTCTGTGATGGTTTAGGTGGATCTGGGGGTGGGAGAGGAGGAGCCTGTTACCTCCATACAGTTCATGTACAAACACATAAAGACAAACAGAAAGCAAGAGAAAGAGAGGGAGAGAGGAAGGGAGCATGTAGATAGGTTATGTGATTGGAATTTCTATGCCAGACGCAGAGATTTAAGTCTATTTAATCTCCTTACATATTTAACACACACACACACACACACACACACAAACAGGAATGGTTCATTGGCACTCAGATTAAACACATACACCTCCAGCACTGAGAGGACAGTGAAAAAAAGGAATGAGGCAGGCCCGTCTCAAATTTGAGGTCAGTATAGGAAAGATTAGAAGAAAAAATGGAAGGGAGACACCGCACAGATGTGGATGTTAATTCTAAATTATGTCATCTAATACAAACTGTCCACCAAATGGTCACCCTTGTACAGCTATACTCAGAACAGGAAGTCTTTAAAACATCACCAAAGGTGCTAAACGATACTAAAGTATCAAGAATTTCGATCAAAACAGGTTCAACTTAGCACTCAGTTTCAAATAGATCCAACAGATGTTCCTCTGAATAGCCCTGATATCTAATACTGCTTTTAAAGACTGAATTTAATCAGTAAAACTGATCAAAATGAATAACTTTCTCATTGTTATAATCACATTCACTGATTCAAATAAATGTATGTATGTATTTATTTAGGTGAGATCACTGACTTTTATGGGATTCTCTTTTTTTCTTTCATATTTATTCCTAATTTAATCTCCTCCATATATCTAATGCACTCATTCATTGCATATCAATAGGCCCAAAATGTTTTCTGATGCAGTTACATAACAGATCTGATGACAATCTGCAAAGCCTTTCGAGAAAATTGGCTTGGGGAAAAAAACACAACTGTTGAGCGTCTTGGAGCCCAAATGGATTGGAAAATATCTTTTTTTTTTAACGTAATTTAGCACAAAATTTCTGATGTGAATAAATAAAACAAAATCAGAGCTATAACAGTAAACCTCATATCCGGTGATATAAGCACAGGACTTTCAACTAAGTTATTTCATTTACTTTTGTCACTATTTTATTGATCACTTTGGTCAACAAGATCTTACAATGGGAAAAAACTTTCAAATCGCATTTTTTTTAACAGTCCTCAAAACCCATGAAAAGAAAGGCAGGTATTAAATACTTAGAGGTGTCAGTGAGGGAATATTTGACATTTTTGCTTGTTTGATTTTTTTTTTTTTTGGTTTTTTTTACCTAATTTTTGCCTTTTTTTTGTAATTTTTGCTGGATTAATCACAAAAAATGTTCATCCTATTAGGCTGTTCATTAGCCATCTCATTGTTTCAGCTTTAAGAACCGGAAAACGACACAAAACGACACTATAATCTTGATCACCTGAGTGTGTTTTTGACATCAGATGCACTTTACTGTATAAAAGTTTATAGGAAGATTATAACAAACAACAATGATCACAGCCAACAATCCTCAGATATTTTAATACACAAAATATTTCATTATTTGCCATCGTTAATGATCTAATTATAATGGTAATTGTTTTGTATCAACTAAATAGAAGTCTTACTGTGACATCATTTTTTAATAATAATAATAATAATAATGCAACCGTCATATAAGCCTAATAAAACCCAGAGTGGTTCTAAGTTTTTTCATATTGTTGCAGTGATTTTCAACTTATCAAACTTATCTTATTATCAAAGACATGATATAAACTTATCACATTAAATCTTGAGTGGAAAAAATCTGCATGTGATCATACAATGCATTTCTTTAGTTGGGAACATCCAACCTTTTGAGATTTTGGGCATGTAGTCAGTGAAGGGTGGCTTCAAGCTATGGGTGATGTTTACGGTCAAACATTAACAAGTGAAGTCTGGCAGAAAAAATCAACACCATCAACAGTATCATCATGGTAGGACTAAGCTCAATGTACCAGATCGAAGAATAATGCAGCTATCTTATCCATTTAGTGGGGTTAGTCAATAATTCCAGCTTCCTTTTAAAGAAGTGCCACTGTCCCTGATGTAGGGATTGATAAATCTGGGCAGCATGTTACAGATGGTATATGAAAATGTGTCTGGCAGTCCAGTGGTGGGCTGCAAAAACCAGGTCAGACTCCCTCCCCTCTGCAGATTACTGGTAATGGCCCCTGAGCATAAAGCCCATATTAAAGATTGCAATATCTATAATCTCCCAATGGGGGGACAGTACTAAAGTACTAGAGTGAGGGGGTCACCCTGAGCTTGGGGGGCTGGGCATCAGGAGAACCTCTCATACAGTAGATTATATGGCCTGGGGGCGTTGGCACCAGGCGGGGCTTGGGAGCACTGGGACTGATGGAGCAGGAAGTGGAGTACGAGGGGATCAGAGTACTTCCACTCCCGAGCTGGTCAAAGCCAGGCAAACTGCACGTGCACTCAGCTGACATAAACAGACATGCAGACACATAAATACATTCACATACACATCCCAAAGTAGCTCTCAGTGCTCAGTCACACTGGGGGGTGGAGGAAGCGGGTTGCCATGGTGGTGCTGGCACTTGAAAGCTGTGACTGAATATAAAAAAAAAACAAAAAACAATGCAACAGTCTACCCTAACAACAATGACCCACTGAACAATCTAAATTTAGAAACTGCAAACAACCAAATCCCATAGTCTGTCACACTTTTCCAAATATGAACAGCTGCTGAAGTGAGCAAATATGTTTAAATGGAAAAGATTCCAAACTAAGCACAGCCACACATTACAGCTCGGTTAAAAAAAACTTGTTTTACTCACTGACATACCAGAAACTGCTATTTTGTTAAGTGTGTGAGGGACAGCATTATCATCCCTCTCCACCAGGTGCACTCCAAAGCTGAACTGGCACTGGTTTGTGCCAGACTGGCAGAGTTTCCACTCAATTTAAAACTGACAGATGAAATGTTACTTATGACCTGTGCCCGTGTACAAGGCTTGTGTAGCAAGCATCAAAATGCCAACAACACTGTAAACACACGCGTTTATGCATAGCTTGTAATGGTTATCCCCAGGTGACAAATGCTATGATGCAGAAGATGAAGACTAACCTTGGCCAAATGCAGACAGTCCACACTAAACTATTCAACATGTTCATAAAAACAAACTTAACTGAAACTGGTGCAGTGCAAACTAATTATATAGTGTTAATATTGTGTGTGGTGATATTATGTTAATACAGGGACAGCAAATGTTGATATTTTTTTAAACAAATGAAAATACTATCCAACACTGTAGCATAACGGCTCAGTCAGACAAGTAAAAACAGGACAGGACAGCAACCTCCTTACATCTACAGTGTAAATGCCAGAATTAAGTTGTGGTGACTAAGTGATTGCCCAGAGCTTGTCTTGGTCTGGCAAGCTGACTTGGTATCAGTCTCTGGTTATATTCATAAAACAGTTGTAACATTTAAATATCAATTTCTGTCTACGTAGACAGCAACAGATATGTGATTTTTTTGACGATCCATCAGTTAATTGCTATATTATCAGAAATAGATTGAATATGATTGTCAACTTGACAATCAATCACAGACTGATATCAGACTCAGTCTTACTGCAACATTTATACTAAAGTTCATTAATCAATCAATCAATCAATCAATCAATCAATCAATCAATCAATCAATCAATCAATCAATAATGAATAACGGAAGTGACACAACTTACATCACCCATAGTTTGAAACCGATATTAGAATAGAATAGAATAATCCTTTAATTGTCCCACAAGGGGAAATTTGGTTGTAACAGCAGCAAGAAAAACACATATACAAACAAACAGGACAGAAAGGAAAACATACTATTTTTTACAAACTTACATCAAGTCAATAGTTACCAAAAGCAGAGTACTGTACAGTAGGGCTGGGCCATATCATACCTTTCACGGTAATAACGGTATAATGTTGGGCAACGATAAGAAAATGAAATATCGCGATAGAATATGGGTAAAACGCGCATGCGCAGTGCCTTTGTTTTCATACGCACATGGCGGAAAAAGCATGGCGGTGACGGAGAATGAGAAGGGCGAAAGCGGATCGTTGAATGAAACGATGAACCAGAATTGGTTTGTAAAAATGCTGCAACTTCAGTGGTGTGGAACTGGTTTAGCTTTCGTCCGTCAGATACACAACAAAGCACTATTTTTGGTAGAGCATGCTAGCGGGCCGTCGTTATTACCGTGTTGTTTGGAAAATACGGCACACTTAAAATCAATCCTTTGATTTTTCTGAAAATCGACAGTGCCCCTTATAATCCCGTGTGCCTTATGTATGAATTCTGGTTGTGTTTACTGACCTCGAAACGATTTTATGTACACGGCGCTCGAAAATCTGTCAAATGTTTTAGTACGACTTTGCTAAGCTACGAACCCGCACCGCTTGATGGATTGTCGGAGCATTACGGCTATCGTAGGCAGGAGCCTCGCGGAGTGATACGTACTGTGCTTCAACATAATATTACCGTATTGTGTGTGTATAACCTCTTTTTAAGTTTTGTGGATATTATACATGGTTATGCTGAGGATATGTCGGCCAATTTCCACTGGAAATGCCTTTTGGTTAAACTGTCAGCAAGGAATTTGCATTTGCACTGTTAATTTTTATATAACTTTAATGCACATAAAAAACAGCTGCTTGTTTAAGTGAAAATACATT